GGTTTTAAATTGAATTCACACAGGACCCTGTGTTCAAATTATGTTCCTCTATTGAACACTATGTGCTATATCAGCCGATTGCCATCCTTGGGTGGAGTTACATTAGCCCTTTCTTTAGACGCTAACAGGACTGTACCTCCTTGACCACAAACTAACGTGGAAAATGGATGTTGAGGAACGCACTTAGACAGGTCTTATAGCGCTCTACTCCTTCAAGAACTCTATAGGTAAGAGTTGGCGACTAAAACCGGAGCTAATACATTGACTGTATGTAACGGCTGTACTTCCCATTCTTACACTGCCTTGTATGGTGGCAAGGAGCCAATAATAATACACTGCTGGCTAAAATGAATACTGCCCAGCGATCGGAGTCAATCCAAATTACTGGAGCGCTAAGAAGCACCCCACACGCAGCCTTGAATGCAATCCTAAATTTCCAACCACTTTATTTTCTGGTTAAATTCCAGTATGGGCACATCTTGCCCTGAGGTTTCGGAAAACATATGCCTAGAAGTCGCTGAATTTTGACCATGCTAGTATCCTAAACAAAATGTCAGTTTGTGACCTTCTAGAGAGGAGTGCTCACATCAGTGTCAGGGAATCCTGGACAAGTTGTTACCCTTAAGGCATTCAAGTCCTGTGCTCTGTGCTATGCTCTTCGTGATATACGACAGATAGTTAAATTATGTTGGGTTCCAGGTAGCCGACACATAATGAGGTAGCCGATGAGCTTGCTCGAGGGGGTTCGCAGTCGTCCAATCTTCCGACTGAGAGATCTGTACAACCGCCTATTGGCTACTTTTTGGCAAAAACCGTATGAGCTACTGTGAGGTAGTCGGTGACAGATGGTCATCAGAACCTGGATGCAGGATTTCAAAAACCAGCTGGCCAGATTTCCTTCGAGGGAGATAAAATCGTTGTTGGGATCATAACAGGCCACTGCAAGATTGGATCTCTCATTTCCAAATGGGACATTAACAGAGCGTACAGAGCGTAAGGATGAGGAAGAGCTGAAACCAATCGAACATATACTCTGTAGGTGTCCTTCGCTAATTAGCAGAAGACACAGACAGTTTGACAAATATGAAATTGATAATCTAGTATTTTTCTCCGAATACGCTCATATTCTTGATTATTGGCTAAGAAGGAAAAAATGTGTGCTTAATGTGAATATATACATTGGGTCCTATTGGGGTTCCCACATTGCAATATATTTTGCATTAATGTTTTAAGATAAACCCCCAAAATTCTGTTTAAAACAGCACAAATGGTTCAAGCATGATGCAATAATAAGGTGATGTATCACAACAAAAATCTTTGTTTTTGTCTCGACCTTCTGTCAAAATTGTCCATATAATATTTCACATGGTTGGCAACACTGCACATCGAATTCAAGTAAAAATTACACACTTTGACAGTTAATCGAGACATCAGCTGAGCTAAATGGACTACCTATTTATTGTGTTGTGGGTTCAAGGATCACTTCTAGTTTGAAGTCTTATTGACGTATTTAAGAGGAGGAATTAGGAATAAGTAAGTCGACTTTCGACTAATCGATTAATCGAAAGTCATGAAAAGTCTAAAAGTCGAAGTCGACTTTTGATGTTTGAGGAAAGCACAAAGTCATCTTGGACTCGGGAGGTAAATATATTTGCAAATAACGGACTTGATATCCAAAATCACGTGTGGTTTACTTTTGTTTTGTGTCTTGCAGATCTCTGGTCCTCGATGTACTATTTATTATGGTATGGAAAATCGCCGTCTACCCAACTATCAAATACCGTATGACTACGAGGAATAATGTATAATAATCGTCTATAAATTTCCTAAAAATTTCTATTGAATTTGCCGACTTCGACCTTGCACCTAGTTTTTTATGTAAGTTAATCAACCTTTAGAACCTCTTTAAATTTTTTTCCCACAACAGAATTTTTGAGATATTCTTCTATTATTTTTTGTTGTTGGACATCATATTATTTTACTCCCTTATAAGCTCTGCAGCACCAAACTAGTCTTAGGTGAATATATATATTTATTTTGATGTGATGACAGTCTTTTAGATTTCCATTATAATTTTCTTATGTCTTTTTTTCAAAAAAAATATTTTTTCTAACACCCTTTGTGTTCGAATTACCAGCCCACCCCCGAATGAAAAATTTCCAGCCCATCCCTTTGTAAAGTTGTGATTAAATAAAAAAAATGTTCTTAATTTTGGGTTTTTGTTTAGGTTTCTCTTTATATATATATATAAGTATGTATGCTTTTTCTTTCAATGTATATATATAATAATAGAATTGTTTTTTGGTTTCTTGTATGGATAAATTGTTTTAAAAAAAGGTTTATATATTTTGTTGTTGTTCTTGTTTGTTGCTATATGAATTTGACAATAAATTAGTATAAGTAGTTAATTAATTAATGTGACAATTAAACGTTTAAACATAAACATACATATGTAGTATGGCTAATAATGATAATACTATTAAAAAAAATAATACTACACACATACAAATATATTTTTTTGTGATTTTTTTTTTCAATTTTTTTATAGAAATTCTTCTTGTTTTTTCTTCATTTCTCTCTTGGTTTTTGTTATATTAAAATTGTTGTTTTGTGGTTTTTCTTCCATTTCTTTTTTTGTTTCTTTATTTAGTATTACTTTTCAATATTGTTTTCTTGTTTTGTTTTTGAAGAATAATTAAACATTGATATAATAAAGTTTATGGTTAATTAATTATATTTTTTCTTGTTGTTGTTGTTAAGTGTATGCTTGTTGTTGTTTTCATAGAATAAATTGTTTTTTGTTTTTTTGTTTGAATAAAATAAATAAAAATTAAAACTATGTTATCTAAGTTTTTTTTTAGGTTTTTTTATTTTATTTCAATGGTTTTTGTTTTTTGTTTATTTAATAGAGAAAGAGAGTTAAATTTAAATAAACATAGACAATTAAAATTAAATGTATATATATATATTTGTTTGTTTGTATTTAAGTTATAATTTAATGTAATATAATTAATTAAGTAATAATAAATTTAATTTGCTCTACACAATGTGCGCGGTTTTTTGAGAATTTTGTTGTTTAGCATTTGTGTCTCGGTTGCTGTTGTTGTTGTTGTTTTTGCTTTTTTAAAGACATTTCTTTATAAGGAGGTCTACTTGAAATTTTGTTAATAGTATTTTTTTGTTCACATGTGTTACGTTTGTAATAAAATTTTCCATATTTCGGTTTTTTGTTCTTTAGGTTAAGTGGGTGGCTTGGTTATTATTTTCTTTAGTTTAGGAAGGAGGTTTATTTGGTTTCCTGTTTTTAATTTTTTCTTTTTTTGTTTTCAAATATAGCGCTACTTATTTGTATTTGGTTTTACTTTTTTTTCATATGGAATATGGAGTTATTCTCTCTTTTGCTTTGCATATTCAATTTTCTAAAAAAAAGAGCATTTATACTTTACTAAGTAACAAAGACTTTATTGTTGTTATTGGTTTTTTGTTTTTCAAATATTTTCGTAATGTGTGCATTTTCACAATGAATAAAAAATAAATAATTAAATTAAGGGAATTTATATAATTTATTTTAAAAATTAAAGAACAAATTTGACTAGTATTTTTTTAATTTTTTTATTTTGAGAGATTGTACAACATGCATTGAGTATGTGGTAGTAGTCAAAGCATAATTATACGAAGGGTTTTTGTTTTATTTTTTTAATTAAGACAGATATTCTAGAAAGCACGTGAACTCAAAATCATTTTTGTTTTATTAAATTTTAAGCATTAAACATTTGTGTTTTTGAAGAAGTATGCAAATATATAAAGTAAATACCATAGAATTATATAGAGGAATTCGTTTTGAAGAGCAAAAGCTTTTAAAGAGCTTTCCATAGAAATGTGCCAAGGTATATTAATAAGTTCACCCAGCTAACGAAAGTCAGCTGTTTTTTATCAAGTCTAATGTCAACAATTTTGACTTTGTTTACGTTTTGATAACGGCAGTCAATTCATAATAATTCACTTTGGCAGCAAACTTGTGAAGCACCTGATATCCAGCTGTTCTCCCTGGATGACCTTATTAATAGGCCTTGAAATGTGTTGTGTTTTTCTTGCATTCAGATCAGCTGTTATGTGTCAGAAATGCTTCCATTCCTCTTGCTATCTTTCCTTTCCTATAAGTTCAGTATAAAGCTGGGTTTCAAAATTCGAAGATTTCTGTTTTGTCGCATTAGAATGCACGAGCTCTACTTAAAGCAACGAAATCCTAAAGACAAGAAAACATTTTCAATAGGCTGAAACACATTCAGCAATTGGTGTCATTGTGTCGCTTTCAGATCAGCTGTTTCGAATAAAAAAGCTAATTTTGAAACAACGACCAATGCACGGTCTATTAATAAGGTCATCCAGGGAGACCAGCTGCCACCCAAGTTTGCTTTCAAAATCCATTATTGTGAATAGGCTGCCATTATGAAAACGTAAATAAAGTCCACATCTTTCACATTAGACTTGAGAAAAAAACAGCTGACTTTCGCTTGCTCAAAAGAATTTCAACATTTTTTGGAAAAATATAAAAAAACGATGGAAAAAAGCTCTTAGATACCCAACATAATATATTTTGTTAAGAAGGGTCATTAGAAGTTTTTAAAAATTACTTCAGTCTTTTTTTCATCAAACCATTTGTTGTTCTATGTATATATAATTTTCTATATATATATTTGTATAACCATTTGCCTTACACAAAACCATTTATTTCATTTTTGTTGTTGTTCTCGTTTTTAACATTATTTTGTTTAAAACTTGTATGGGTGTTACTCCTTGAGTTAACGTGCATTAAAATATCTGTCTTGGAATTTGTATGTTGTTGTTGTTATTAATGTTACTCTTCGTTAATTTGGCCATGTTGCTGGTAGTTGGCCAAATTCCTATTTATGCTTGCAATCTTATAAAATTATTTGCTGTTGTTGTTTTTGTTGCGTTTTTAGTTTTTCTTCTTTTTTTGTTTCAATTGATGGATGAGCTTAAGCTGTCTTTGTTTTGTTGGTCTTAAAGCTTACTTGCAAAACACGATTACCTAAAGTATAACCATTCAATGATTGTATAGCCACAACCGCTTCATCGTAATTGGTCATGGTAACAAAACCGAAACCTTTACATTTGCTGGTCTGCAGGTCACGGATTACCTTAACCGATTGGACGGCACCGAATGGGCCAAACAATTGCCACAAGACGTTCTCCTCGGTTTCGGGTGCCAAATTGTAAACGAATATACACCAACCGGAACCGGTTATGGCGTTGCCCGGCAATATGGAATTGGCCAAGAGATCACCAGCCAATGGAGAATATCTAAAGGTGGTTTGGAAATTGTTCGAGAGAGAAAGAAAGAAAAAATATGGAATTAGAAAATGCTGTGTTATTAAATAAACTAAAATATATTTAATTGTTTCCTTTTATTTTGGGACAAAATAATATACAAAACTTTTAATATTTGGTTTGGTTTATTTTTATTTTTTTAATATATTAAAAGTTTTGCATTGTCTACATATAGTATTTGGGTTTCTCTAAAAATGTTTACTTAAACTAAAGTAGTTTTTTTTATTGTCAGTATTTATTGCTGCATGCTAAGGTGTTGATTTTTTTTTTAATTTAAGTGAGAGAGAGAAAAAGGTCAAGAGGAATATTAAGGCCTGTTAATAAACTCATCATCAGGGAGACCAAGATCGATTAATAAGGTCATTCAGCAAGCAAAAGTCAGCTGTATTTTCTCAAGTCTTGTGACAAAAAATTGGACTTTGTTTACTTTTCATAGAGGAAGTCATTCACAAGCATCATGATCCAATAATAAGGTGATGTATCACAACAACAACCTTTCACTTTGTCTCGATTATCTCTCAAATGTTTCCTTATAATATTTTACATGGTTGGCAACGATGCACATCGAATTCAATTAGAAATTACGCACTTTGACAGTTAATCGAGACATCAGCGGCGTTAAATGGACTACCTGTTTATTGTGTCATGACAAGCATGGGTTTCGACAGAAAACTTAAGAGGCAGCTGATATTCAACAGGTCTTCCCGGATGACCTTATTGATAAGCATTTAGGGAGACTAGCTGGATATGAGCAGTTGTTAATGTTTGCTGTCAGAAAACATTATTGTGAATTGACTTCCATTATGAAAACCTAAATCCATAACATACTAAATAGGTACTCCATTTAGCACAGCTGACTATCCGATCAACTGCCAAAGAGCATATTTCATATGGTTGGCAACACTACACATCGAACTCAAGTAGAAATTACCCACTTTGACAGTTAATCGAGACATCAGCTGCGCTAAATGGGCTACCTATTCATTGTGCCATGGTTTCTACTTGAATTTGGTGAGTACCTTAATAGATACAATTTGGCAGATGGTCGGGTAAAAATCAACTGTTTTCTATTATACCGTATGCCAAATTTTATCTATTACGTTTTCACATGGTTGGCAACGTTGCTCGTCGAATTCAAATGAAGAATGATCGGATAGTCAGCTGCGCTAAATGGAGTACCAATTAATTGCCATGACGTAACGTCCAAATTTTTGATATTAGACTGAAAAAAAAACAGCTGACTTTCGCTAGCTGTAATTCATTAGGGGTATTCACATGTTGGATGGAAATTAAAAAAAATGATTGGAGACTTAAATTCTGCATCGGAAAGTCTAAGCAAAATAACTTGGAATGTTAAATAGGCAACGAAGCAGAACATTTCTTTACCGGATTGAATAAATCGACAATTCTTCATTTTTAGTAGGTGTACGAATATTAATTTTTCATACTGTATGTTAGTATGAAAAAAAAAGAAATTTTCTTACAGATATATTATTTTTATATATATTATACTTTTATATATATTATTCTTTATTCACAATTGATTATAAATTAATTATTAATTAAGTTTCTCAAGGATGTACGAATGTGAATTTTGCATACTGTAGATAATACTAGTTCATGCAGTCAACTCTATTGTCCTATACAGACTTCAGATAGTTCAATTGAACTATTCACCGAAAAGAACGTATGACCTAGGCCAGTCTTTATAGTTCACATGGTATAGACAGTACTACCTTCCTGGCAATTGATACGGAATGACCAAGATAAATTGAATACATTTCCGAAAAAAAATCAAACTAAAAGTTTGTTGTAAATTATTTATGAGAGACTCAGAATGATGCATGTGAATTAGAATATAGTGGAATGTGAATACCCTTAATAAAAATAGTTTTAATACGAAAATTCCCAATATTCCCCTTGACCTTTCTTATTAGTGATTGTGATAGATGTTTACAAAAGACACAAAAATGACGGTTGATTATGGTTTTAGTAATAATTAATAAAAAGAAATATATTTTAAAATAAACATAAATTTATTACATTTAAAAATGAAATGTTTTGTTTTTTACAAAAAGAATAAAATCATGGCAAAAATATCAACATCGAAACACATTAAAAATGTAATAACAAAAATTACAAAGACATCTCAAAAACGGAAAAATTAAATAATTAAAAAAAAAACGAAAATGTAAATCACTACAATTGAAACGTTGCCAAAAACAAATTTTATGCCAAAACATTAGTTGCTTTTTTTTTGTTGTTGTAATATTAATTTCAGTTTTTTTTTGTAATTTTTTTTTCGGAACAAATAAAACAATAAAATAACAAAATGAATTCACCTTTGTAAACCCTTGTTAATGGCAAACAGGGGGCTTTTTCCAATGCTAAATTTATAAAAATTAATTGGCCACACGTAAAAAATAATGGAAACAAAAAAATTGTTGAAAAAAAGAAAAAATGTTGAAAAAATATAAAAAATACACAAATTTATTATAACATTAGTAAAATAGTTTTGTTAGAGAAAAATATCTTTGTTTTGGTTTTGTTATTTGATAAATAATATAGAAATAGATTTGGAGAATTAAAAGTATATTTTAGTGTAAAACAGAAATAAATCAATTCTGTGAAAATGCTTAACAAAAATAAAAAGAAATCAAAATTATTGAGAGAATTGGTTAGCAGTTAAGAACGGTTAGTGGTGGATTTGTGGTGTTAAAGGAATTCTAGGATGTTTATATCCGCCAAAACTTGTGTCCCAAAAGTTTGGTTTCGCATAACTTGGAGTGTTGTAGGGAATGGTACAAGGGGAAGTATAAACCTCAAAGGGAAAAGTTAGCTAAACTTGTTTTGAAAAAAAAATATCCCAGAGAAAATTAGTATGTGTAGCCTATAAAGCATGCCTAATCATTTTCTTATGATATGAATTGTCAGAGAGTCTGAATTTTTTTTACTAACTTGTGTGTTCACTTACCTTATACGACCAGCAGATGGTAACGCTCCGGCAGTAAGACGTCTAGTTGCAGCAGCTGCCTGTGGTGTCAGATAAGCAGCCAATGGTGGTGGGATTTGAGCTTTGGCGCTATTGCTTGGATTATTGGCAAATTTAACCGTAATGGGTTCCGTATAACCTTTAGGTGTCTTGCCGTTCAGTTCTTGAATTGCACGCTCGGCTTCGTTGCGTTGATCGAAACGTATAAAGCCAACACCCTTTGAGAGACCTATAAAAATGAACAGCGTACAATTTTGTGGATAAGTAACACGAACTTGTTCACAATAATTGAATACAAAATAAAAAGGAAAATAAAGAACCAAAAATAAACATACCTATGCCATTTAACAATAATTTCTTGATAATCTCAATGTCTAAAATAAAAATAAATAATAAACAAAATGAAAAAAATAAATAAATCAAAAATATGAAATAAAATAAAAATCACAGCTTTATATTTTACCGGCCCTATTATCCATAATTCCATATTTTCGGTTAATCTTTACTCGTTAATTTTAAATATAACGATATTCTACCCGTAACATTTAGCAGATCAACCAGAAACAAAAATTAAGCTACGATTGTGGATAATCGTTTTGGTTGTATCATAATGTAGTGTATAGAAGGGCTTGGTGATACATATAATGGAATAATGCCCTTTGATTGATCACATATTATTCGGACCTAAGATTTAAGACGACAGGAAAAACAATCAAAAGCCGCCGAAAGGAATCGCAATTGTTTTCTTTTCTGTTTTATAGTCATACTACCATGGAAGTCTTTCGAAGGCAGATATGATATATGGCCTCGAACAAATTTTGAAGTAAGCGGGAGTAAAGAGAATGCAGCGTAAAAATGGCTGATGGAAAGAACGTCACAAAATTTCGCTTCAGAAAGTAGTTTCTTGTCAATCGAATATTCTCACTCTCGCCTATAGATCCCTATATATTAAGACATAGGTCTTGCCATGGCACAATAAATGGGTACTTATTTAGCGCAGCTATCAGATTAACTGTCAAAGTGGGTAATTTCTACTTGAATTCGATGTGCAGTGTTGCCCACCAAGTAAAATATTATATGGAAAAATTGTCAGATAATCTAAACAAAAATAAAGGTTTTTGTTTTGAAACATCACCTTATTATTGCATCATGGGTCTTGCCATGGCACAATATATGGGTACTCAATGTAGTGCAGCTAACTATCAGAGTGCATAGTTTTTACTTGACGTGCAATGTTGCCAACCATGAGAAATATTACTAGCTAAGATAATAAAATACAGATGTTTTTGTTTTGATACATCATATTATTATTGCATCGTGGGCCTAGTACCTATCCAGCAAACAAAATACAGTCCAAAGATATCGAAAGTGTTTTCTCAAATGTTTTATAGTAGTATACCACTGACAACTTTTGAAGGGAGATAGGACATATGGTCTAGAGCAATTTTTGGTGTGAGCAGGAGTAACTAAAAATCCCCCTAAAAATGTCTGATGAAAAAAGAACGTAACTGAATTCCACTTCAGAAAGTAATTTGCAGTCAATCGAATCATATCGACCCTCGTATCTTTCATATCACAATAAATATGTAGTCCATTTAGCGCAACCGACTACCCGATTAACTTCCAAAGCGCATAATTACTACCATGGCAGAATAAATAGGTAGTCCATTTAGCGCAGGTGATGGCTCGATTAACTGTCAATGTTTCCAACTATGTGAAATATTATACGGAAACATTTTACAGATGGTCGAGGCAAAAACAAAGGTTTTTGGTTTGATACATCACCTTATTATTGCAGCATGGTTACTACTTGAATTCGTGCAATGTTGCCAACCATGAAAAATATTACTATGTAAAATTTGGCACATGTTCCAAAAAAAGGGTTTTTGTTTTGAAACCTATGGGTCTTGTAGTTATCCCGCCAACAGAAACAACACAGGCCCTTTGAAGGGACACAGACCTGTTCCGTGAATTAAAAGCTAGATGGCGCTGTTTGCATTTTATTGCTAAGAAACCCTGTATTCGTACAGATGGCGACGCTGTGTTATTTGGAAAATCTTTGCGGGAAATAGCAAAAATAATGAATTTCAAAAGCGGTACAAATTTTAAAACGTTTCAAGTTATCTAGAATGCATTGTTCATTGCTACGTCTCCAAATCCGCATCGATCTTTCTGTAAGTGGCGTACAACTGGATTTTTATATGTCTAACTATTCGAACAATATTATAAAAGACATCGACAGATACCGCAAGTGTATTCTTTTCAGCTTTATAATCGTCCTACCATGGAATTCACTTAAAATGAGAAAATGCGATGGCATACGTATATAAATTTTGCATACTGTATGAGGACAGTTTCTGAATAAAGTCGATGGAGTTTTATAAGTAGAACTATTCTGCTATTTAAGTGCTTTGAACAGACGTTTACTGGGCACTATTAAGTGTCAGCAAAGCCGGCTCTAAATCATTAGCCAGTCGGAAAATATATCCTGCAGTTTCATAATCCTATAGCGATCCTGCCCTCTATTACAAGTTATTTCTAATATGTAAACATTAATTGTGAATGAAAATTTAACAAAATTATAATAAAAAATAATAAATATTACAAAAATAATAAATTTTACAAAAAAAAAAATCTGCATATATTTACCGGATATATTATCACAGAGTATGCGAGATGTTATGATTTTGCCATATGGTGCAAATAACGCCTCCAAGTCTGGTTGTGATAAATTTTTGGGAAGACCCGATACATATAAATTAGCACCCTTTATTGACTCCGAACTTGGACGGGCATACGAAACTTTAATGACCTTGTTCTGTAAACGTAAACCGTTCAAGGTGTTGACAGCCTTCTCAGCGTCCTCTGGCCGAACATAGTTAACGAAACCATAGCCCAAACTTTGACCTGCAAGTGGTAGAACTTTTTTATATTAAAACAAATATATATCCAGTAATATAATATTAAATGCAAATAACATACCTTGCTGCAAGGCTGGATTCAATGCCTGCAATGAAGCTGGCAATACTGTAAGGGGAAAGATAGAGAGAGATTGAAATTAATATAAATCGAATATCAGAGAGGGATTTATTCTGATTTCCAAGGGTGGTGAGAGATGTAAGGTTTCCAACAGTCCACAAAGATATTGCTAATAAGAACTTTTTGAAGAATGGCAACACATGTTAAGTGTTGCCAATCTTCTTCAAAAATCTCTCACCCACAGTTTATGGAATTGGAAATCTGGGTTAAGAGTAGTATTTTATTTAAATGGACTTACCCGAAATTTTATCACGCACTAATTTGCAGCTCTCCAATTCACCAATGCTTGAGAACAGGGAACGCATTTCCTCTTGGGTCATGGTCTGTGGCAAATAGTTGACAATCAAATTGGTGCGCGACTCATCGTTGCCATCGACAGAGCCATTGGTGCTGCCATTTTTGATAACAATATCCATGGCATTGGTCATTTTGCTGGTGTTGGTGGTGGTTTGTTGCTGTTGGAGAGTAATTTTGAAAGTTTTTCCGACTAACTGCGCGGGCGAGAAACGATGGCCTTTCCTTTCCAGGAAACTTGAAGTCAAGCTTGGAGCGTTTTTGTGTTGGTTTTCTCTGAAGATTAGTGCTTAGCACAATTTGCGGTTGTTGTTTTAATTCTTGTTTAATTTATAAGAAATCTTATTTTGTTTTTATTTAAAAAAGCGTAGTTCTGTTTGAAATTTCACGGTAATTTGTTTTTCTGTTGTTAGACTGGAGTTTGGAGTTTTAGATCTTTGTATGGATCATAAATTTATAAGAGTTGTTTGGTAATTTATTTAAAATTGTTTAAATTTTTTGGTTTGTTTTTGTAATAATAAAAAGTTAAAAGAGTAAATTTTGCTAATGATTTTTTTTAGTTGTTTGGTGAATGGGTGAAAAGTTGTTGTTTTTTTGGAATGATTTATATATTTTTCTGTTGTTGTTGTTTTATAAAATTGCAAAAATGCAAAAAAGTTTCTTTTTTTTTGTTTAGCGTAAATTTGGTTTTCTTTTATTTGACTAGAATTATTTAAATTTTATAAATTGTTTTTTGTTTGTTTGTTTGTTGTTACTGTTGTTGTATTTCAATATGGAACATTTGGTTGATTTATACTCAAAAAATCCTTAAATCCTTTTTGAGTCTCTATTAAAGTGTATAAATGATTATTTCTTTGTTGTTGTGGTTGTTTGTTGTTGTCAATTCGTTATATAATTTTTGTTGTTGTTGTTGTTTTAAATTAGCTCTGTAATAGTTGGTTTTCTTTGGTGGTGTTGATTTGCAAGATTTCTGTTGTTTTCCTTGGAATATTCTTGATTAATTTGTTGTTTTTTTTTCTTGGAATAATATAAAATATCTGTATTTGTTTTCACTTGGTGTACAATTAATAGCTGCTCGATTGCTTACTCAATGTGTATAAATTTCATTTAGTTTTTTTATATCAAATCTGTAATGAAAAGAAATTTGAATGGGGAAATATTAGTAAAAATACATTTAAAATGTTAAATGAAAACATTAAAGAAAATTAAATAAAATATATTGGTAATTTTGTAGTATATTTTAGGAGCAAATAATCTCATGTTCTTGGCGATTTTTCTTAATTTTTTCTTTCTCTTAATTAAAGCATTTTTTGGATTTTTATTTGAAAAAATTTTAACACGGTTGTATTGATTTTTATCAATTTATGTAACAAAACCAGTATTTTACAAAATAGTATTGTGTACAAACGTAATATATTGTTGTATATAAAATGGCGCCCAATTGTAAAACTTGTACAGTTGGGCGAAAATAAAAGGATTTGAAAACCAGTGAGCGGAGCAGTATAGTCGGACGGGGCCGACCATATGATACCCTACACAACTTCCACGAAATTCTATATTCTGATCTTGGCAATATTACTAATATTGAGTACAGATTCCCTTCACGGTGGGTTGGATTGTGATGTTCGGCTTTCAATTGTGGCCTATAGATCGACTCGAAAAAAACACCAAAAATTAAGTTTTCGGTCTAATTCATCCCAAAATTAGTATCTGATCATCACCGAAAAATATTTCCGTAGTAGTTGACCATACCTGGATCCTCATGGAAAATTTAAAAGCGATCAGCGCTATATTTCTGCCCTCTAGTGTGGTAATGGGTTACTGAATACTATATCAATACCTAAGCACATGTAAATATTTAAGTGTATCTCCCACATCCGAGTAAATACGACAATATAATTGGTATCAATTTAAAGGTCAACCCCTCATCTTGGATATACTATCAACTTCTCCGCCCTATGTCCTCCAGGAGTAAATATATACGTTATAGAATACAAATTTTGTAATTTTTCAGACAAAAGTCAGGGTCCATTTGACCCGCTAAATATTGACCGATCTTTATCAAAACAGGCATGCTTATTCTTTGGCCCGATCCCCTTCTCCACGTAAAATTTCGATCCCCCTCTCCATGTAAAACCAACAAAAATTAAGTATTTGGTCCATTCCTTCCCATAAATATTAACCTATCTTTTCCAAAAACAATAGGGGTCTTCATTGGGCAGAACCCATCCTACATGCAAAATTTCGTGAATATTGATTGGTCTGTAACTGTGGTCTGTATCGTGTTTACAAATTATAATGAACAGGCGGACGGACACACATGTCTACATCGACTCAGGTAGTCGAGATATGACGATCGGTATGCTTAAAGGTGGGTCTAGGACCATTATTTCGCGGCGTTACAAACTCTTGGGGCTGCACAAAGCTATAATACCCTGACAACATAGTTGTGTAGGGTATAAAAAGTGTGAAGATTGTGACACATTTCTGCAAGGTTTTTAATAAATATTTCGCCAATATTGTTTATTTTGTACTGAAATTTCTAAAAACTGCTAAATTTTAATATATAGTTTGTTTTGAGGCTCGTAACGAAATTTTACGTAGAATATTTTATTCTTTTACACCATGTACGGAAAGTACTAAGAAATTTCTATGAAAAAAAGTACTAACTTTGTTTGCATTCTTTTGATCTATTATGAGACTTATTGTAAAACTGTATAGCGAACATTTTTGTAGAATATTCAGACTCATTTCTGGAAAAGGGGCCGAAAAGACACCTTCAGAGAATCAACTGAGGGTTAACGTATTAGACAAAAATTGTCCTCACATTTAGACCAGAAATATTGCCAAAGACCTAAAATGCAAGGATTTCGAGAAATCTTAATTTGAATATTTTCAAATAGTTTTGTAGTGGGAAATATTGCTACGCCGTTTTATGTTATCTCCCGACGTAAACTCTCAAAATACCACACACGTGTCTGTTTTTAGTCCCTTTATCATATTTATTTAGAATTTCCCGATAATTATTTTTTGTGTTGCACAGTGTAATTGTTTCTGATTAAAAATTGCGAAACACATGTAGGCTGGATATTTTACATTTCATTGGCTGTTTATCTTCATATTCACCAGATTATAGAGACCTTTTGAAATAGAAGGTCCTGGGACTTCTATGGATTAAAAACCAATTTTGCGTCTAATAATCTATCGAGTAATGGAAATTATTTGAAGATACCCATGCGAACTATTTCCTTTTTAAGTTGGACTTTAAAAAGGAAATAGTTCCCATGTTTTTACTTCATTTCCCATTACTACCATGCTATTATTTTTCTTTGGTTCAATGACCTCTAACATATGTTTCTCACATTCACTACACACACACACATACACACACACAAATTCACATTATAGAATTTCCAACAATGTATCATAGAAAACCACCCCCCTAACCCCTATGTCTTTCATCAGCACAATACTGCAATGCTGAGAATTAAAACTGGCTTCCCTGTCCGCATAAAAACAACAACAACAACAATGAATCCGCATACATATCTATGCAACCAACTATTTTTTTTTATCAGGATAATTGCTGTTTGTGACAGGACCTTAATGGCATTAGCAGGAGTTTGCTTGTTTGGGGGTGAGATTTAAAAAGAAAACTAACACTTGTGCGAATATGTTATCTGCGTGCGTCTGTGTGTTTGGTCGGAAATAAAATTTCATATAATGGGTGAGTGTGTCCAAAGGATAACAATATATGAATTTGGAATATTCGGGAAATAAACAAAAATTAGTTTCGCTGCCAAGAAATGTCACCCTTAACGAAAAAAAAAATTTTTACTGAAAGAAAAAAATATATATATTAAACAAATAAGCCACAATTTCTTTTCCAAGAAATATATATTTGTTTTAATATTTCATTTTATACAAGTCCTTGAAATATAGATATTATCAAATGTCATAAATCCTCCTACAAGGACATCATTTTTGTTGACCTCTAACATTTACACAAAATAACACCAATATTAGGGGATATATTTTAACCTTTCGTTAAAAATTCTTATGGCCACAATTTGGTATGAAAGCTCTTTATTTAATGTCAATGTTCAACCTACATTTAGCGTTCATATTAAGCCAAGATACATATAATACACACCCATTTGCACAAACACACACACATGCATTAATGCCTAGTCTAGTGTAAAGACAAATCTGGGTGTTGTACATCATTGGCGCAGAAAGTCGCCGCAAAAAGGAGACAGTAAACGAAATAGAACACAAAATAGAAATAAGACACAATTTTTCTATTTGTTTTTTTTTTGCGAGACTGTGTCTAATTTATTTGTTCAAGAAGCAAAAGAAGAAGAGAAGGAGGAGGAAAATAACGACAGACTAAAAAATAAATGTTAATACACTTTGAGTGGTTTGTGTGAGTGAGTCTGTGTTGGTACAACAGGGATGATGACATGAAGACAAGTTGACAGCTACATACATAGCGAACAGTGTTGGTGTTTGTCTGTGACACCATAGTCACCACATTTGAGAGCAAGATAAGGTGTTGTCACACACAACCACTACCACAAAACAGCCACATGCATACACCCACCATGATTTTGCTCAAAGCTATTCCTACAAGCATTTATTTTCTTTGTAATATAACATCCATGTGGGTATGTGTTAGGTTGGTAATAATAATTAAGATAGAGGTGACAGCAGACAGTGGTATTACTACTAAAAAAAATCAGCTAAACTTTAACAAATATATTATATATATGCATCGATCGTTGCATAAAATAAATTGTTTCATTGAATTTAAATTTATATGTGTTTTGATCCAGAGCCAGCAAGAATGGGAAATGTTTTACTACGATAATAATTCTTCTTTTCTGATATCGATAAAAATAGTAGAAATTAGTACATCCTTGCAAATACGGGAACAGATCATATATTTCACAAAAAAAGTAGAATTTATATTTAGTTAAAAATTGATATTTATGGCATATTTTTGGTTAATATTAAAAAAATATAATCGCTGATCAAACGTCAAGTACGAATATAGAATTTAGTTTTTTAATTGCAATTTCGAAATATTGTTTACTTTTTTCTATATTCTGAGCCTATATTCAGCTCCACTTTCAAATTCCAAATCTTTCTTCCCGAGCTGAATATTTACGCCATAAAATAA